TCGCGACCCCCCCCCCCCCACATGCACACACAGCAATAGAAGAATAGAGAATAACAATCCATATTTTCGATGGCCTTAGGCGACCCTTGGCAAATCGTCAATCGACCCCCAAAGGTGTCGCGACCCACAGGTTGAGAACCCCTGTTCTAAGTAAAGAAATCCCAGGTATCTTCAGGTGACTATGAGATTGAGGCTAACCTCGCAGGTAAACAAACGCCTCCCTTGTGCCGAAAGTTTGATCTACCTTAGTTACTTTCTTTCAACCCTCGTCCTCTCTCTCTCTTTCTCTCTCTCTTTCTCTCTCTCTCTCTCTCTCTCTCTGTTGCTCACTCATTTCCTCGCTCTTTAACCAAAAATATGCGTCATACAAGGGACACAATTTCGGTCGATATGATGCAAGGGAAGTAATCTAAAAGTTTTTTCCCGTCTAGAATTATCCTCGCACCAGATTTCATTCGTAGTGCATCTGTTTGATAACCGAAGTTTCTCTTTGTTCAGTGTGCTATGAACTGGACACACCACTAGTGCACAGCTATGGTGCAGTTGACATTCTGTGTTGGGGAAACTCTCTAATAAAGAAAAACAACATGTGATTATGAATTCGAAGATATTTATTAGGATACATTTTTATTTGTAGTTTATTATACAAGGTTCCAACTGCTATCAGTGAACCTTAGAATGAGTACGTGATCATTCAAATCTACGCAGTTGGCAGCATGTAGGTAGGGCACTCATTGTTTTTGTACGTTTAGTTGGCAGTAGATTAAGTCCATGTGAGTTCATCAGGTCCATGCCACTTAGTAATATACTGTTGAACCCTGCTACATAGAGTCTAGATCAGACAATAGATATTCAGTTTGAAGTTTGGAGCATCGAATAGAACATTCTATACTAAATACGTGTGACAGCTGAAGTGTACGTAATTATACATTTGTCAAAAATAATTTCTTAACTAATTAGCTGATATTTTTATATATTTGAATAGACACAAAGATTTCTTTGTTTATATTTTGTTCAATAAGTCTAGATCCTTATTTTTTAATGAATGTTTCGTTCAGTAATATTATATATATAAGCTCTTTTAAAATATTATGAAAGACAAATAATTATTGTTTAAATTGTCGATCCAGTGAAGGCTACGTACACGACGTACAGTGACCTTAGAATTGTATTTTATTACAACTAGATATTAAAGTAGGACAGAGTTTACAAATGCTACAACACGAACAAAGAAACACATACATATCCCCACACATCAACACACTTATACATATCCAGTGATGTCCACACACATACGCACGCGTTTACAAACTTATGAGCTAAAAGAACTTCTGTCTTGGTGTGTCCAGTGGCAGGCGAGAACAAACTTCTCATAGCACCTCTAGTTGGATAGAAGTGTAGTTAGTCTACTCCTAAAGTTCAGTTCAAACTTAAGATGCAATACAAACTCTTGAGCAACGGGCGAGACGTCAAGAAAGTCTATTTTATGAAGGTAGATAATCCGCTTTGAAATGTTAAGTCTATGACGTATTTCCTTCTGACGAGTTTAAATATTCCAGTGAGTGACTCGAGCAGATCACGTGACTAAGTGCAGATGTCTTTGAAAATTAAGTCTCTGGTCACATTGTCTCACAATAATGATTCATACTGTTCCAGCGTGGAAAGGGGGGGGGGCAGTGAGGCATGTCAAGGGAGACGGCAACTGCGAGGGTGTTAATATTGGGTTCAGTGAGAGACGCTTTGAAAACAGAAAATCAATATTAAAAAGAAAACGGCATGATTCAGACGACACGATAGTCAGGAGGGGGGATGCAAGGGGATGGGTCTTTGTTTCTCTCACTTCAAAGTAGATCTTATTCATGTGGAGGGGGAGGTGATGGCTCATCGTCCTTGAATTGGATTAAAGAAAAGATTGCACGCATATAGTATTCTACCATTTCGTGTCAAAGAGCGATGTACACTCATCAGCCTTGGGACAATAGTTGCTTCGTCTCAAAAACAAAACCAAACCGTGTCATGATGGAACAATGTCACAAGGAGGGCAAGAAGAAAAAAAAGCTGGGGGGGGGGGGGGGGTTTGAGGGTTGAAGGTACAAGATTTGTGACATTTTTTACTTTGTCACATTTCAATGGTTTAGTTTTCATACTAATAGTTTAAATTTATTTAACTATTTTATTTTATACTGGCTTTTACGGTGGCTGAGTGGTTAAATGCTTGGCTTCCGAATCGGGCGTCCCGGGTTCGTTTCCTGGTGAAGACAAAGATTTTTTAGGGCGCCTCAGTTTGCCCCTAGCTCTAATGGGTACCTGACATTACTTGGGGAAACTAAAGGCGGTTGGTCGTTGTGCTGGCTACATGACACCTTCGTTAACTGTTGGCCACAAAAACAGATGACCTTAATATCATCTGCCTTATAGATGACCTTTACATCATCTGCCTTATAGATGACCTTTATATCATCTGCCCTATAGATGACCTTTATATCATCTGCCCTATAGATGACCTTTATATCATCTGCCCTATAGATGACCTTTATATCATCTGCCCTATAGATCTGAAAGGGGCACTATTTCATGTATAATTTACTGATAGCAACAGCTGTACAACACATACAATCACGTAAGCGTTTAAATGAATCAGTGCTGAGAAACATAACAAGAAGTATTGTATAGATGTACGCGACATTTGTGAGAAAACAAATAAAATAAACAGTTTAGAAAAGTAGCATCAAAGAAATCCTATCAATGTATGAATGTAATGTGTAAATCGGAAATTGAACCCTTACAATTACACAACTAATGCTTACAAGCTCAGAGTTAGGTTTAGATTTGTTTCTCTCCTTCCACGCTCGTTAAAAGTTCTTTGTTTTGTTTTTTCAGGCTATTTATAGACACTATCAGCTGCTCGCGACGTGTGCTGCCATCATGCACGACGTCATCGGTGGACAGTGCGCGTGCAGGGGCAGATAATTCAAGAGGGAGATGTTCTACGTGAGCGTCAGTTATTTCCCATGCAGGCCCGTTACAAGACGACGTTATCAGAGTTATCGCCATTTGACTCCCAGCTCTGATTGAGCTAACCGCATTGAAAACAAAGAATGCTTACCTGGCAGTATTGCCTTGAATGAAGGTGGACGATGGATTGATGGATGGTTGGAGGAAACAAATCAATGAAGGTGTTGAGCACACAAACACAGCTCACTGCTAGTTGTGTGTTTACCTCATTGCGAGTGTGTTAATCGTCTGGTATCAGCTCCCAGGTCTAGTGAACACACGTATGATAGAAACATTTCAATTACACAAACCTGAGAGTCATTTTAAAATCATCCTTCTCTTCCACATTTTGTTGTCAAAATGGCGTATGGACTACCTTGTAAATTATGGATACCTAACGATATAGTATTAAAATAATACTCAAAATAAGAAAACCTAAAAAATTATATTGATATTTATGACTTGTGTTGCAGAACTGCTAAACATGTCCCAATGCGATAGGTGCTTCAAAATTATTTTGTAGTTAAAAATTGTAGTCCTTTATATAAAGAGTGAAGTTTACATTTCGGGTGCACAGTATTACTATTTTATAATTTAAATACAACAAACTTCTCTCTAAACAAACTGGCTATTAATTAAGGGCTTACCTAACAAGTAACATACTCGACCCTTTATAGATGATAGAACATCTAGCAGTACAGTGTAGGCTACTTACTCAACAAAACCTATAAGCTATTTAAAGACTACGAAATGTAGTTCTATAAAGTAGTCAATATTGGATAGGAAGTTTAGAAATGAAGATTTGGACACAAACTAAAACAAACTGAATTCAAGACAACTTGTAGATATAGTGACTTAAGTAAGTGAATTTAAGACAACTTGTAGATATAGTGACTTAAGTAAGTGAATTTAAGACAACTTGTAGATATAGTGACTTAAATAAGTGAATTCAAGACAACTTGTAGATATAGTGACTTAAGTAAGTGAATTCAAGACAACTTGTAGATATAGTGACTTAAGTAAGTGAATTCAAGACAACTTGTAGATATAGTGACTTAAGTAAGTGAATTCAAGACAACTTGTAGATATAGTGACTTAAGTAAGTGAATTCAAGACAACTTGTAGATATAGTGACTTAAGTAAGTGAATTCAAGACAACTTGTAGATATAGTGACTTAAGTAAGTGAATTCAAGACAACTTGTAGATATAGTGACTTAAGTAAGTGAATTCAAGACAACTTGTAGATATAGTGACTTAAGTAAGTAAATTCAAGACAATTTGTAGATATAGTGACTTAAGTAAGTGAATTCAAGACAACTTGTACATATAGTGACTTAAGTAAGTGAATTCAAGACAACTTGTAGATATAGTGATTTAAGTAAGTGAATTCAAGACAACTTGTAGATATAGTGACTTAAATAAGTGAATTCAAGACAACTTGTAGATATAGTGACTTAAGTAAGTGAATTCAAGACAACTTGTAGATATAGTGACTTAAGTAAGTGAATTCAAGATAACTTGTAGATATAGTGACTTAAGTAAGTGAATTCAAGACAACTTGTAGATATAGTGACTTAAGTAAGTGAATTCAAGACAACTTGTAGATATAGTGACTTAAGTAAGTGAATTCAAGACAACTTGTAGATATAGTGACTTAAGTAAGTGAATTCAAGACAACTTGTAGATATAGTGACTTAAGTAAGTGAATTCAAGACAACTTGTAGATATAGTGACTTAAGTAAGTAAATTCAAGACAATTTGTAGATATAGTGACTTAAGTAAGGGAATTCAAGACAACTTGTACATATAGTGACTTAAGTAAGTGAATTCAAGACAACTTGTAGATATAGTGACTTAAGTAAGTGAATTCAAGACAACTTGTAGATATAGTGATTTAAGTAAGTGAATTCAAGACAACTTGTAGATATAGTGATTTAAGTAAGTGAATTCAAGACAACTTGTAGATATAGTGACTTAAGTAAGTGAATTTAAGACAACTTGTAGATATAGTGACTTAAGTAAGTGAATTAATATAGATTTCGAACATGTATTTCATTGACCACAGGCAGTAGTCCATGTTACAATGACACTGGAAATGTTGTCACAATGCGTGTCACATGTGACCTTAACCTTGTCACACAGCACGTCCACTAGTATACCCGCACTTCAGCCCAATGGACGTAAAGCCACCAAACAGACTGCCACGTCAACCATGTCACGCCAAGACGTCCAACTGGAGAGTAGTTCTAATGTCACGTCAGCCATGTCACGTCATGACATCACACTGGAGAGTAGTTCTAATGTCACGTCAACCATGTCACGCCAAGACGTCCAAATGGAGAGTAGTTCTAATGTCACGTCAACCTTGTCACGTCATGACATCACACTGGAGAGTAGTTCTAATGTCACGTCAACCATGTCACGCCAAGACGTCCAACTGGAGAGTAGTTCTAGTGCGATGCATCTTGAAATCATACAAGCCGCCAAGTCGAACAAAGAACAAGACGTGGCTCGTGCACTGCTGGATAACCTGACCAGCCTATATAACGTGGACGAAGCTGGGCGCACAGCTTTACACTGGGCTACAGAATACGGCTACGTTAAAATAGCACACGTCCTAATCAATGCGTCTCGGGATTCTAACCGAGAAGTTTTGTTGGATATGCAGGACTCCAAGGGCCAAACTCCACTCCACATTGCTTGCAATTGTAAGAGAGAGGAGTTGGCATCTCTGTTTATTACTCTAAAGTGCAACCTCGACCTGCAAGATGTTTCCGGTAATACTGCATTGCACCGTGCAGTGCGGATGAACCTAGAGACAGTCGTGTTCATGATGTGTGAAAATGGGGTGAATGTAAATGCCACAAATAGTCTACATTGGACGCCCTTGCACGAGGCGGCAAGGACCGGTAACGTCAGTATTCTACTCGTTCTTATACAACGCGGGGCGAACTTGGATGCCCAAACACAAAATAACATGACGCCTTTTCTTACAGCCTTCTTCTATTTTAGGATTGCATCCAAGGGAAACGCTTACCCAAATTTAGATAGTGTTTGGAAGCTGCTGATCGAGTCGGGATGTTGCCTGTCAAAGAGTGATGGACATTGGACGCCATTGTCCGCTGCGATCGCTTGCGATAATAGTTTCATCGCCTCACTACTTCTGTTCAACGGTAGTCAAATCGACAAAGCGGGACGCTGGGGGCGTGGCCTTCTCCAAGAAGCCTTTTCCTGCAGCGAACCAACGCTTGTTAAGCTCTTAGTATTATTGGGATACATCCCTAGCCAAGATGAGATCTCCTACTGTTGCAGGCAGCTACCCATGTACTCCAAGGTTTTTATGCGGTTACCAGGCCTGGGCTCGGGTCTCCATCGGGACAGACAAGCCGTGGTGAAGTGGCTAAAGGAGAGAGAGTCCTGTCCACCCTCTTTGTCAGAGTGCTGCAGGGTGTCTATTCGTCAAGCGATGAACACTTCCTGCGGTGACAAATCTATTGTTGCTCATATCAGACGTCTTCCCATTCCCAACAAACTCAAACAGTATTTGGCGCTTTCAGATTTTACTCACTATCTTGTTGATTAAAGTATACACTTGACTTTTTGATTAAAGTATACACTTGACTTTTTGATTAAAGTAGACACTTGACTTTTTGATTAAAGTATACACTTGACGTTTTGATTAAAGTATACACTTGACGTTTTGATTAAAGTATACACTTGACGTTTTGATGAAAGTATACACTTGACGTTTTGATGAAAGTATACACTTGACGTTTTGATGAAAGTATACACTTGACGTTTTGATGAAAGTATACACTTGACGTTTTGATGAAAGTATACACTTGACGTTTTGATTATGAAAACCACATTCAAATATGCCACAAAATTACATTTGATAAAATATGTTTTGGATTGTTACAATTTCTTGTTGATGACCTTTGAACTTACTTTGAAGGCATTTTCTTTGTGACTTAGTGTTACTACTACATGGATCCTGCTTGGATTATTCAAAACTATTTTTGTTATCAGCCATTATGGTCGCAGATTTGTTGAGAGAAACATGTGCAATAATAATCAAATCGTAATATGAAAGCTATGCAATAAAAATTACACCAAAACAAAAAAACATGCCTTCATTTTATATAAAATAAGTTAATTTTGTTTTTCTAACGCAGCATATAGGTTTTATCTTTGAATATATTGTATATTACAAATTTCAATTTATTTCTATTTTCTCTATTTCCATATTAGTATTATTAATTTATTTTATTTTCTAATAAGAGAGGCAACTCCGACTCTTTTATATAACACAGTAACATCCAATACTCTCCCTTTTTTAGATATAAATGCGGAACATTATATATATTGTCATAAAGGATGCCAACCAACTAAACATATTGTTTCATAGTTTTTAAGAGGTGGCTAGATAACCAAACAGAAGGCTGTGTGACCCTCACAGTTTACCCATTGAAAATCTCTGTATGCGCTGGAAGATTAGTCACTAATTGCTATTAAAAAGCCTGTGTAAGAAACTTTACCCAATTCTATAGAAGTGGGTAACATCTTTTTTTAGAAGATAAGAGTCTTAAAATATTTTTATCGAATTGCCCGTGACTATTAGCTCCGCTGTGCCCCAGTGGGTGTAAGAGGGTGCAGAGTAACATTTCAATCAATGGAAATCTTGCGTTTCGAAGCGAAGAAAAGGATGAGTGACGTCATTTACTACTGCTCGATAAGCTCAGGAACAGCTTGAGATGAAACAGTTAATCTGCTGAGGCCTACCTTCAGTTTGGAACATATTTCAACAGTATTTGTGTTGATTTGGTCATGTGTTGTGTCGTTGATGTGTTGTGTTGTGTGTAGACATGCATTGTTAAGGATAATCGTAATTTTAGTCCTCTACACATGTTTTTTTTTAATTGAATGTTTGAATAGTTCTATTACAAATACTAAGCATTAGTTTGAAATAATAGGTAAATAAATATTGTTAATATTTGCTTTAGTTTGAAGGTTACAGTCCTATACACAACTTCTACTGATCGAACTATAAACTGTAGAGGTGACCTAATTAGACGGGTCCACCGTGCTTAATATCACGTCTCAGCATGCTTTAATTGAGTGACATGGGCGAATCATCCAGTGACGAAAGGGCGCCTTCAAATGAGACGATCAAGCGGCATCTGAAGTAAGTCAGTATGACTGTAACCCTTATATTCTCTAGCAATCTATCTTATAGTAAGAACTTAGGTTATCAAAGGAAATGGACTTGATCAATTCTGTATTGTCGTATGTTCTTAAATGTTTCATTGTATGGTGACTTGTATGTCTCTATGTCTATGTCTACTCTCTATCTATCTGCATGTCTGTCTGTCTGTCTATGTGTCTATTTATAATGTACAAAACATGGAACACGTGTGTCCTACTTTAAAAGAACTTACTTATGGAAGTTATTATTCAGAATAAAAAAGTGCTGTTGTGTATTAATTATCTTTGAATAAGGAGTACTAAGTGCATTCAAAGTGCTATTAATGCATTTTGTTATAGATATTTATTTCTAACTTATGTCTAACCACATATGAAATTCATAATTTTATTTCTATTTTTTTTATAGAAAGCTTATATCAACTCACTCCGTATGTCTGTCTGGGGAAAAGTTTGTACACGTTATATTTCCCACTTCCCATTCTTTGCACAAATTATTTCATTGTCGATACTACACGTGAATAAATGATAAACAAAACATTCATCAATTAGTCCGAATTTTGTTTTATGTAGAAAATGAACAAAGCTTAAAGGAGATAAGTCTTGACTAGAAAATTAGATCGCTCGCTAACAATTTGAAACTAATAATAGGCTACAATACAACTTTCAATCTCACGTAAGTACTTGTATGGCCTAGTGGTTGTAACTCTACCAGTTCACCGAACTCACTCGACACAGTGGCTTAGAGAGGGTGGGGATAGGAGTAGGGAGAATATGAAATTCCCCCCAAGCCCCAACTTGATATGGGGACCCCAAATAAGTGTTCGAAATAGTTTTTTTTACATTAAATATAAAAAATATAGCGCAAAATGCAGGGGCCCAAAAAGGTCGGGTCCCAAACGATAGCAAATTCCTAGCTACGCCACTGCCTCGACATCTTGAGTTCAATTTCATTTTTTAAACAGCTTTTAAAAGGGCAGCTCGGAAATTTTCTCCCAGAGACCTCCAAATAATAGTCCCCACTCCTCCACTTCAACTGATCCACAAAATGGATTGGATCATTGCGCACTGAACATTCTATAAGAATGAAAGTTGTGCTAAAAACAAATATAGTAAAACCCTATCCGAACTGATTGGATAGTGTTGTTTGTCTAGATTGATTCAAACTAATGGATGCAATTTCACTGAAAATAAACTTTGAAAATTATTTTATTTTTTACTTTGTTTTTTTTTTTAAATCCTTCAACTTTTAGGAACATGATCCGCCAATCAGCTAGCATGTATTATTTGTTAGGATATATGTTTTACAAATAAAATATTCAGTTGTGCATCACAGAATTGTAAGTGAATAATTGACTGGTAGATTTCATGCTAACTGTGAAACCTAGATGTAGAACGTATAGGCTAGTACATCTGCCTGCTTCTAAAACCATAGATTGCGACATCCATAATAACACAAAGTGACCTACTTGACTTTAGCTGATAATCAACAAGGCATTCTTAACTTATGGTAGCAGTTAAATTTTATAAGGGACATCATCTAAAAGTATAAAAACAAACCCAACTTTTGTACATTTTCTAAGTTACCTCCCATTAAAAAAAAACTTTTTACATTGCATGCAGTTTTAGCTACACCTTGGAGGACCATAGCCGCTATTGTGTGGTCTGTCTGTCTGTCTGTCCGTCCGTCCAGTATAGATTGCAAAAACTAGAAAACATTGAAAATACGATATCATATTATAGATTTTTCAAAGTTGTGGTACAAAGGTATTTTTTTGCTTTAGTTGATGGCGAAATGTTTAATTTATAGAATTATTCATAAAATGCAGTATTTTTACAACTATTCGCTATTAAGAGTAACAAAATAGGGTAGATTGAATGAATAAGGGTGGAGATTTCACTGTATATTATTAATACATAATAACGCTTTGTAGCTTGATTTTTTTTTATGTTATAAAAATATTTGTATTACTAAATTAGGTTTATACAAACTACTTACATTATAAATAAAATGCTTACTTTTGTTTTAAAAAAGAAAAAAAAATATTTAGTATGTTTATTGAATATAATTTTAAATACAAACAGTGTTCATCTATCAACAAGTAGAGTGTTATATATCCATAATTAAAACTCATACATTGAATCAACAAAATTGG